GTTGACACTTCACTGCTATTTGTCATTTATAGCTTTTAAAATGTTATTTATAGTTTTTAAAATATATTTTCTTTCCTCCATACTTTTTCAAATTTTGCTTTTCACTATCTCTCAAGATGACTTTGGCTTATTCTAAAAAAAAAAAAAAAAAATTGAGACTGATAGGTCGGTTCAGTGGAGAAAACAACGAAAAGTTTGTATCCCTATTGTAACCCTTAGGTTTGCTCCAGGAAATGCTCGAGAATAATCTTGTTTAGATTCTTGTTTTTAAATTGTTGGTTAAGTAGTTTTCTAAAATCTTAAATGGACATTGCTATACACTTTTTATACAGTAGCTGTTCTTGGTAACTAAAGATGCAAATTGAGATTTAAAGATTAGAAAATGTGACCATGTTAGCTTGATACCCAATCCAAAAAAAAAAACAATTCTTAAACTTACTAATATACTCATCCCTCATTTGTCATCTGACTTTGCCCTTAGTTCACTTGTTGATATTTCTTTGTTTTATCTCAAGTAGTTTCTATTGATTTATTTAAAGATTTGTGCAGAGCAAGTGTAGGTGAGGTTGCAACCAGCTTTCTACAAAAGCAGGCACCACTCTGGCTGTGACAACTCGCTTGGGAGCTGGTCCTGCCTTGGGAAGAAGCGTTGCCAGTTGGTGGCAGCATTCACAAGAGCGGGTCACATTTCCTCTCTTATCTTTAGGTTGGATTTCAAAACAACTCTAGAAAACAGACTGAAAGGCAAGCCTAGAAACAGCACGTGAACGACTGCAGAAAAGTGGAAGGTTTCTGACTACAGCCCAAAACACCAGAGCATTTGGCGCAAAGCGGGACAGCCGTGTCCTATTTGTGTCCTGAGCAGTTTGCAAAAACAGGGCGAAAGCTTGTTCCCAGAACTAACAGTGGGATCAATGAACTCGGGATGATCTTTCCCCTTCCTTAACATTTGCGCTCTGTTCAAGGGCACTCCCAGCGGGCCTCACTGCTCATCCCCCCCCCCCTTCCCAGAAAATATAGCTGTGTCATTTTAAAGCCCCCCCCCCTTTTTTTTAATGTCATCTGCTCATGAACTACACGTTGAGAAGCAGACACTTTTGTTCTGCTCTGACAGGAAAAAACAAACAAACACAATAAACAACGTTTTAACTCTGCAGCCAGAACATTGCAAAGCATCAATTTAGTCAAGCAAAATGTTAGTATATTCTATTTCAGGGCCAAGAATTCCAAGGAAGAGGGATATTTTAAGAAGGAACAGGTTTTTTGTTTGATTGTTTTTTTAATGATTCAGTAATTTTATATAGCCATTAATGTGAAATTTTTATTTCAATCATGGGAAGTCTTTAGGGAAAAAAAAAAAGTTCTGTTTGGTTTTGTTTTTAATCTAGAAATATATTCTCGAAATTTAAACACAACAAAATTCAGGGGTTAATGAATAAGAATTTTAAGTCACTGACAGCAGTCACTATGTAATTGGTTGTTTATGTGTTAATATTTCTTCAACACAATTCTATTTAAAATAAAAATGTTTTTAATATTGGATTAGCCTATCCTGGTGCCTACTACTTAAATGAGCATTTTTCTAAACAGTATTAATTCAATTCATACACTTTTCAGAATAATTCTTAAGTGTTAGTTTGCTCTAGCATACATGTGCATGAGAAATCATTTATTTTAGAAAATTCCTCTTCCCCAAATGAATATTTAAGGAAAGGACTATTTAAAATATATCAGGATTTTTAATGAGCGAAAGAAATAGTGAAGTGGAAAGCCTTTACAACTTCCGAGAAACCGATACAATCTATGAACAAATCCTGCTTTTTCAAACATTTGCAAAGCCACCCGTTGACAGTGAATGATCCAAACAGCAGTTACATTCCTTCATGTAAATCATTCTGTTGCACAGCACTGGAATGTTACAAAATCCTTGTGAAATTTCAGTTGAAACATATTAGCAAATACATTCGTGAGAGAAAAAAACTAGCTGCGAAAGTGTAGGAAGTCCCCATATGAATCCTAGATGAGGAAAAGTCTGTCCTCAGGGTTCATTCATCACAGAAAGGGAAATGTATTAAATGAGCAACTGTCATACATTATTTAACACAGCAAAATTGATGAAATGTTGCCACTCTTTTTAAAGACTACAATGTAAACCTCTGATGTTAAAATTTCTATTCCTAAAATACATTTTATTTATTTTTACACTGTATATCTTAATTTTATTTTTTTAACATCTTTATTGGAGTATGATTGCTTTACAACGGTGTGTTAGTTTCCGCTTTATAACAAAGTGAATCAGCTGTACATATACATATGTTCCCATATCTCTTCCCTCTTGCGTCTCCCTCCCACCCTCCCTATCCCACCCCTCTAGGTGGTCACAAAGCACCGAGCTGATCTCCCTGTGCTATGTGGCTAAAATACATTTTAAAACTGGTCATATAATATTCCACTTAGTGATCTGCTTACTCAGTTAGATAAGAGTTCATCCAGACCAAAAATACTGTCAAACAGCTACAGGGTTAAGAATTAAAAAAACCAAAAATACAAAAAAAAACCCTCTCATGTTATCTACTTTTCTCCTGTTACAGATGCTTCCTTATATGAAACAGAGAAGAAAATTAATGATGGTCACTATTATTGTTACTGTTATTTGTGTTATGGATTTATGGTACGTATGTAATGTCTACACTTTTGTGAAATTTACTACTTTATGAAAGGTAATTAAATTATTCCAGAAAGGACTTTGGGCTTTAGTAAAAGAATCCTTGTGTAAGATTCTATGTTAAAAAACAAAACAAAACAACAAACCCAAACAAACAAAAATCCCTCCTTGTTTAAAGATATGGCCATTTTGCTATCCATGAAAGGAAAGAGAATTTCTGATGCAAGCTTTCGGACCATGAGAAAAAATGTCATCCAGGCTCTTGCTGGCAACAGGCCACACAGCAGCACCCAGCCCTGCGCAGAGAGCAGGTAGGCAGATGTTATTCAGCTGACTTTTGCTGGAAAAGTATGGGAGAGCAGTTGGAAAATCACAAGGTGTCACACAACCTTTAAATAAATAGCTTATTTGGCAATGGAAAGGGAAAGACAACCAGTTCCTTCGCTGAGGAAGAAGACTGGGATGCTTCTAATTACAGAGCTCCTTTCTGCTGGTTTCATGGACTGACTTCTTAATGAGAATGGAAACTGTGCTCCCACACTTGTAGTGAGAGGTTCTAGGACTTCAGAATGACAAGTAGTTTTGCTGTAGCTTTGTGATCTTATAGTATGAGAACGTCACTGAGAGAGGAGATCATTCTTCACCCTGCCTTGTCTGCCCCTAATCAGTGACTGAGGCAGCACTACATGGGGAAAGTGTCAACTGCCAAAGGAGAGCTTCTGACACCTTTACTTGAAACCGGCATTGAACGTTGTAATCCCTCTAAGGGGAAAAAAACAAACAAATCCAAGATGGACTTGTTAACATCTGAAGGGCACAGCAAAGAAGTATTCAATGAATATTTGAAAACTTAATTTTGTATGAAAAGTCAAAATCAAAAAGAAAAGGTACTTTCTCAGAAGAAATTATTATGGCATGATGCTGAAAACAGGTTGCCCCATGATCCCACTATGCCCATTAGGGTTACTGAACATACAGGCAGCGCTGCTTTACGGTAACTCATCACAAAGCCAATAAAATTGGGCCACATTTTCTTCAAGCTCCCAGATAAGAACCCCTTCATCTCTCTCTCTCTCTTTCTTTTTTTTTGAGTTCCTAAGAATTTTATTTTTCAAAGGGTCAAGGAAGAAGAAAACATGAATGGATATTAACTACTTAGCAGATTGCTAGGCAACATGTGACCATAAAAGGGGCAGCGAGATCTAAAAAGAATAAAAAACCGAAGCATGATGTCCATAAGGGTGGTGCCCCCAACACATACACAATCATACACACACACACACAAATGTATATACACACCCAGGCCCACACATAGAAATACACATGCACACTTCAAAGGGCACTCCCAGAGGTATTACTTTTTAAAGCATGGTTTAAAATGAAAGATCAACTTTACATACACCTCTTTTTTTTTTTTTTTTTTTTTTTCTGCGGTACGCGGGCCTCTCACTGTTGTGGCCTCTCCCGTTGCGGAGCACAGGCTCCGGACGCGCAGGCTCAATGGCCATGGCTCACGGGCCCAGCCGCTCCGCGGCTTGTGGCATCCTCCCGGCCCCGGGCACGAACCCGTGTCCCCTGCATCGGCAGGCAGACTCTCAACCACTGCGCCACCAGGGGAACCCTACATACACCTCTTTGAGGCAAATTCTATGATGATTTTTGTGACATTGATTATTCTTATGTTTGTTACTCATCAATAATCATAATGTGTATACACAACAAACAAAACTACTATGATCTTTCTGTAAGTAAGGATCTCTTGGCCCATAAAATTAACTAGCAGAATTTTTAGGTCACAGTTTTACAAACAGGTTAAAATATATATCACCCTTTCAAATATTACAATCTTGTTACTTTTCTTAAATTTAAGACTTTATTATATTTAAAATAAAGACTTTTATAAAGTACAGAGGACATTCAAAGGCAAACTTCCAGGACTTAATAAAAAAATAACCAACATTATTGTTCCAAATCATTTCGTGAAGACACACAATTGAAAAAAACAAAAAACGAAAAAACAAAGACACAGGCTTGCTTTTAGCCTTCTTGGTTTCTACAGGATCCGGAGCCTGCTCTGATCTGAACTCGGGGACTCCCACCCTCACCAGTAGCCCTCACTGTCATTTAGGAGACGCGATTGTATGGTGGGTCCTTATTTGTGATCGACTTTGAAAGTCACAGAAGGCACACAGATGTAAAAATTCGAAGCATCCATGGGCGCCTTCCACGCGGCGGCCGCTGCCGGCTAAGGGCGCGCGGGTCTGGAACCGCCCACTCCCGCGCCTCCGCGCGTGGGGCGGAGGGCCTAGCAGGAGGAGGGCAACCGCCGCGGGGACCCGGCTCACAGGGCTGTGTGCTCGCTGGAACGCGCCCCCTTCCCGGCACTAAGGAAACTGCAGTTTTCTACGCCTGCTCGTCCTCCTCTTTCTCCTATTACATCCAACAGACGATTTCAACTTCCCGAGACCCTGACAAGTGAATGGCGCTGATGACGCCCCGGAAAGAGCCCACGACCCGGTGCGAGGGAAGGGCGCCCCTGAGCGGGTGGGACCCCGGGAGCACCCCGGCTCTCCTTCCAGGAAGGGGCACGAAACTGCTATGGATCCAGAGCTCACTGGTGCTAACGTGATGCTCGTAAACAAGCCGCGGGCCGGGCACCCGGGAACCACCCAGGAGCAAACCCGCCCAGCCGGGCGGGCGAGCGTCCACCCCAAGCCGGGGCGCCGGATCCGCAAGCCAAAGTGTGTGCTGGGGGGAGGGGATTCCGAGAGGGCGGCCAAGTTCACTGCCCCTATCTTGGCCCCCGCTAGTGGGGCGGCGGCGAGGCGATGCGGGGCCCGAGTGCGGTGCCACCGTCCCCTCCCACGCACCGAACCCTGGCGGGCGGTGTCGGCCCTTGATCTCCGCCGGCCCCCTTCCCCTGCAGTCCCAATTCCTCCCCCCACCCCCGCCCACCCCAGTCCCCTCCCTGGCGGAAGCTCCCAGCCCAATTAATTGAGTCAAAGGCGGGAGGGCAGGGCCCTCCGCGCGTCGGCCGCCGGCCCCCGCCCCTCCCGCGCGCCCCTTTTCCCGCCCTGGGTGGCATCTCCTCCGCCGGCATCCACAACGAGCCTCTGATTAATGAGGCCCGAGCCGGCCCCCACCCGACCCGGGCCCTGGCCTCCGCGGGAGGGGGAGGGGACGGCGGGAAACGCGGCCCCGGGAGAAAGGGGGGCGGGGCGGGGTGCGCGGCCCGCCCCGCCCCCCCCGCGCCCCGCGCCTATTGGCCGTGCGAGCCGTCCGTCGCGGAGCGCGGCGCCAATGCGGGCGGCGGGGCGGGGCGGGCCGCGCCGTGTGTGCCTGCGTAACGCCGAGTCACATGTTGTTTTGCTCTTCTTAGTTCAGTCACTCGGTGCGCGATGTGTTACTCACTGTGCGGCGGGGACCGCGACGAGCCCGGGTCGCCGTTGGCAGCACCAGCAGCAGCAGCCCCGGCGGCGGCGGCGCGGACCCCGAGTACCGGGGCACACCCCGGCACCCCGGAGCGCGGCGCGGCGGCGGGACCCGTGCGGCCGGGCGCGCCTTAGGCTCGGCCCCGAGGCTCGGGGACCCCCGACTCTCGGCCCAGCCCGCGAGCCCCAGGCGCCGCCCGAGAGCCCAGGAGGCAGCGGCCGCTGCCGCCGCCGCCGCCGCCCGCGCCGGGCATCCTCTGGGGCCCCGGAGCGCGGAGGTCGCTGCGCCACCGCGCGGTGCCGGCCCCCCGCCCTCCACCCGGCGGGGCTCCCCGAACCTTCCCCACCTTCTGGGCCCGAGGGACGCGGGCTCCGGCGGGCGAGCAGGGGGGGAGGGAGCCGCCCGCGCCCCCTCCGCTCCCCCCGGCCCCTCCACGCCGGGCCGGGCGGCGCGGCCTGAAGCGCCGGTGATGGCGAGCCCGCCGATGAACGGGCGCCCCGGGCCGGCGGGTGGCGACGGCCCCAACCTCAACCTCAACCACAACAACAACAACAACAACAGCGGCGTGCGCAAGTGCGGCTACCTGCGCAAGCAGAAGCACGGCCACAAGCGCTTTTTCGTGCTGCGCGGACCCGGAGCGGGCGGCGACGAGGCGGCGGCGGCGGCGACAGCGGGCGGGGGGCCGGCGCCGCAGCCGCCGCGGCTCGAGTACTACGAGAGCGAGAAGAAGTGGCGGAGCAAAGCGGGCGCCCCGAAGCGGGTCATCGCGCTCGACTGCTGCCTGAACATCAACAAGCGCGCCGACGCCAAGCACAAGTACCTGATCGCCCTCTACACCAAGGACGAGTACTTCGCAGTGGCGGCCGAGAACGAGCAGGAGCAGGAGGGCTGGTACCGCGCGCTCACCGACCTGGTCAGCGAGGGCCGAGCGATCGCCGGCGACGCGCCCCCCGCCGCCGCCGCCGCCCCCTCCGCGTCCTGCAGCGCCTCCCTGCCCGGCGCCCTGGGCGGCTCGGCCGGCGCCGCCGTCGCCGCCGCGGCCGATGACAGCTACGGGCTGGTGGCGCCCGCCACGGCCGCCTACCGTGAGGTGTGGCAGGTGAACCTGAAGCCCAAAGGCCTGGGCCAGAGCAAGAACCTGACGGGCGTGTACCGCCTGTGCTTGTCGGCGCGCACCATCGGCTTCGTGAAGCTCAACTGCGAGCAGCCGTCGGTGACGCTGCAGCTGATGAACATCCGCCGCTGCGGCCACTCGGACAGCTTCTTCTTCATCGAGGTGGGCCGCTCGGCCGTCACGGGCCCCGGTGAGCTGTGGATGCAGGCAGACGACTCGGTGGTGGCGCAGAACATCCACGAGACCATCCTGGAGGCCATGAAGGCGCTCAAGGAGCTCTTCGAGTTCCGGCCGCGCAGCAAGAGCCAGTCGTCCGGCTCGTCGGCCACGCACCCCATCAGCGTCCCCGGCGCGCGTCGCCACCACCACCTGGTCAACCTGCCCCCCAGCCAGACGGGCCTGGTGCGCCGCTCGCGCACCGACAGCTTGGCCGCCACACCGCCGGCCGCCAAGTGCAACTCTTGCCGGGTGCGCACGGCCAGCGAGGGCGACGGCGGCGTGGCGGCGGGGGCCGGGGCGGCGGGCGGCAGGCCGGTGTCGGTGGCGGGGAGCCCCCTGAGCCCGGGACCGGTGCGCGCGCCCCTGAGCCGCTCGCACACCCTGAGCGGCGGCTGCGGCGGCCGCGCGAGTAAGGTGACGCTGGCGCCGGCAGGGGGCGCCCTGCAGCACAGCCGCTCCATGTCCATGCCCGTGGCGCACTCGCCCCCGGCGGCCGCCACCAGCCCCGGCAGCCTGTCGTCCAGCAGCGGGCACGGCTCGGGCTCCTATCCGCCGCCCCCGGGCCCGCACCCGCACATGCAGCACCCCCTGCACCCCCAGCGACCCTCCAGCGGCAGCGCCTCGGCCTCGGGCTCCCCCAGCGACCCTGGCTTCATGTCCCTGGACGAGTACGGCTCGAGCCCTGGGGACCTGAGAGCCTTCTGCAGTCTCAGGAGCAACACGCCCGAGTCCATCGCCGAGACGCCCCCGGCCAGGGACGGCAGCGGGGGCGAGCTGTACGGGTACATGACCATGGACCGGCCCCTGAGCCACTGCGGCCGACCCTACCGCAGAGTCTCCGGGGACGGGGCCCAGGACTTGGATAGGGGGCTGAGGAAAAGGACCTACTCCCTGACCACGCCTGCCCGGCAGCGGCCGGTGCCCCAGCCCTCCTCCGCGTCCCTGGATGAATACACCCTGATGCGGGCCACCTTCTCCGGCAGCTCAGGCCGCCTGTGCCCGTCGTGCCCCGCGTCCTCCCCCAAAGTGGCCTACCACCCCTACCCCGAGGACTACGGCGACATCGAGATCGGATCGCACAGGAGCTCCAGCAGTAACCTGGGCACGGACGACGGCTACATGCCCATGACCCCCGGCGTGGCCCTCGCGGGCGGCGGCGGGAGCTGCAAGAGCGACGACTACATGCCCATGAGCCCCACCAGCGTGTCCGCCCCGAAGCAGATCCTGCAGCCGCGCGCCGCCGTCGCGGCCTTGCCCCCCACGGGAGCCGCGGGGCCCACGCCCGCGTCTGCCGCCAGCAGGGCCTTCCCGGGGAGCGGGGGCGGCTACAAAACCAACTCCCCGGCCGAGAGCTCCCCGGAGGACAGCGGGTACATGCGCATGTGGTGCGGAGGCTCCAAGCTGTCCGTGGAGAGCGCCGCCGACGGCAGGCTGCTTCCAAACGGGGACTACCTCAACATGTCCCCCGGCGACGCGGGAGCCTCGGGCACCCCGCCCGACTTCTTCTCGGCCGTCCTGCACGCCGGCGGCGGCGGCGGCGGCGGGGAGATGCTCCGGGGCGTCCCCGGCTACTGCTACAGCTCCCTGCCGCGCTCCTACAAGGCCGCCTACACCTGCAACGGGGACAACGACCAGTACGTGCTCATGAGCTCCCCCGTAGGGCGCATTCTGGAGGAGGAGCGGCTGGAGTCGACGGCCAGCCCGGGGTCCACGCAGCCAGCCGGCGCCTTCGCGGCCGGGGCAGGGGGCGGCGGCGGCCACCCGCAGCCACCCCACCCGGCGGTACCTTCGCCCGGGAGGCCCGGTGGCAGCGGCAGCGGCCGCCTGGAGGGCTTCCTGGGCCAGCGCTGTCGGGCCACGCGGCCCACGCGCCTGTCTCTGGAGGGGCTGCAGACCCTGACCCGCATGCACGAGTACCCCCTGCCGCCCGAGCCCAAGAGCCCGGGCGAGTACATCAACATTGACTTCGGCGAGGCGGGCGCGCGCCTGTCGCCGCCCGCGCCCCCGCTGCTGGCCTCGGCCGCCTCGTCGTCGTCGCTGCTGTCCGCCGGCAGCCCGGCCTCGTCGCTGGGCTCGGGCACCCCGGGCACGAGCGGCGACAGCCGGCAGCGCTCCCCGCTCTCCGACTACATGAACCTCGACTTCAGCTCGCCCAAGTCACCCCAGCCGGGCGGCCAGGCCGGGGACCCTGTGGGCTCCCTGGACGCCCTCCTGTCCCCCGAGGCCTCCGCGTACCCGCCGCTGCCCCCGCGCCCCGCCGCCCCCTCCTCGGCCCTGCAGCCGGCGCCCCCGCCGCCCCCGCCCGGAGAGCTGTACCGCCTGCCTCCGGCACCTGCCTCCCAGGGCCCTGGCGCGGCCTCCTCTCCATCCTCGGGGGCGGGCGACAGCGGCGACTACACCGAGATGGCCTTCGGCGTGGCTGCCACGCCGCCGCAACCGATCGCCGCGCCCCCGAAGCCCGACGGGGCCCGCGTGAGCAGCCCCGTGTCCGGCCTGAAGAGGCTAAGCCTCATGGACCAGGTGTCGGGGGTCGAGGCCTTCCTGCAAGCCAGCCAGCCCCCAGACCCGCACCGCGGGGCCAAGGTCATCCGCGCGGACCCGCAAGGGGGCCGCCGCCGCCACAGCTCGGAGACCTTCTCCTCGACCACCACTGTGACCCCCGTGTCCCCGTCTTTCGCCCACAACCCCAAGCGCCACAACTCGGCCTCGGTGGAGAACGTGTCTCTCAGGAAAAGTGGCGAAGGGGGCGGCGGCAGCGTCCTGGGTGGCGGTGACGAGCCCCCCACGTCCCCCCGCCAATTGCCGCCGCCGCTCCACCCGCAGGCGCGGCCCTGGACGCCGAGCCAGCCCGGGGGCTTGGTCGGCTGCCCCGGGGGCAGTGGCTCGCCGATGCGCCGGGAGACTTCTGCTGGCTTCCAGAACGGCCTCAACTACATCGCCATCGACGTGAGGGACGAGCCCGGGCTGTCGCCGTCCCCTCAGCAGCATCCTCAGACGGGAGACAAGAGCGCCTGGGGCCGGACCCGGAGCCTCGGGGGTCTCATCGGCGCGGTAGGGGCCGGCAGCACCGGCGGGGTGTGTGTAGGGCCCGGCCCTGGCGCCCTGCCCTCCGCCAGCACCTACGCCAGCCTCGACTTCTTGACGCATCACCTGAAAGAGGCCACGGTCGTGAAAGGTGAGACCCCTGCGGCTGGTGGAAGAAGGGTGGGCACGCGGGGGCATCCGTGGCTAGAGCCTCTTCCCTTCTTTGGTACCTCAAGCTAAATGCCAGAGTGTGGGTGCAGGTTTCCTGTTCTGTTTCACTATTGGGCCGATGTCAGCTCTCAAACCCCAGAGACCTTGCCAGGAGCACTCAGGTCATCTTTGAGTTGAGTGTGAATCTTTGGATTCGGGAGACTTTTGATTTGTTTTCTTGGGCCCAGACTCCCCGTCTTCCCATGAACACACCTGGCGGGTGCCCCCAGGTCAGCCCCCCGGGGAGAGGCAGGCGGCAGAGGGGGTCTTCTCCATCTGAGAGGTGGGAAACTTGTGTCGGGAGGGGACTTGAAGTTCCAGCAGCTCCCAGGCCGCAGCCTTCACCTTTCTCTTTGTTTTCCTGGAGCCAGGCCCGGCTGACTCTTGCCGAGCCTCAGAGTTTATAAAACACAGGCCCAAAAGTTCTTTAGGAAACGAACATCCATTTTGGTGACTGCTGCAGGGAACAGCGAACCGTTTCAAGTTTACACGTAGCCTGTGGGAGCTTTTCCACCAGAGACGTCCCTTTGCTCCGAACAGGCTGAAATGGTAACGCTGCTTAAACACAGCTCAAAAGCAGTGGTTCTCCAACTCGAGCCCACCTGGGAGTCACCTGGAGAGTTTGCTGAGCCCCGGACGGCCGGGCTAGGTGAATCCCCGTGTTTCCAGTGCAGTGGGTCTGGGATGCGGCTCCCAGTGTGCTTTTTCTAAGAAGCCCCCAGGTTGTACTGGTGCTGCCAGTTTGGGGACCATGGCTGGGAGCACCTGACCCAGTTAGACCGCCTGAGTAGGCTTGAGAAATGGCCTATGGGGGCAGCCCAGGCTCAGTCATGTGAAGCGGCCAGTGGGCGGGGCCCAGGCCCCCAGCTTTTTTCGGCCGCCCAGGTGATGTGAATCTGGGCTTCAGAGGAGACAGTGAAAGACGACCATGCTAGTCTTCTCAGGAACCATTGGAAGGGATGGTGTCCAGTATTGTTCTTTGCAGTCTCATCACAGATCCAAAAGGAGAGAGGTGTGCTTTCCTTGCACCTGCAGGTGCGTCCTGACTGTCTCAGAGGTCTTGACTGTCTCAAACTTTGAATGATGCGGTGGAGGAGAGGTGGTGGTGGGGGGGGGCGGGGGGGTTCAAGAGAGTTTCTTCTTTAATTTTGTAGCCGCTTCTGTGCAGCGTTGTCAGGAAGATAGAGGCTTTGTGGGAACCGCAGAACACAGAGCAGTGAACACGGCTTAGATGCTAGCCCGAGGTCAGCAGTCTGCAAGGGTTACAGGGTGACGATTGAGGTAGCTTGGGGATCCGTACACCTTTTTTTCTAAAAGTGAACAGATCCCTCTAATGCCATCTAAATCCAGCATGTGTTTTCTAGTATCCATGGGATTTAAAGTTATAGCTGTAGAGTGGATACCCTGGAAATCCAATATAACAGAGGAAACGCTACCTGCTTTTTTATTAAAATTGTGGAACACAAGATAAAAAGAGTCACGGAGAGCTATCAGAGCATGGTGCTTCAGCATCTAACGAAGCCCCTGGAAGTTGTCAGGATGTGTCCCATAAACGACACTCAGCGGAAGGTCGCTTTGCTTGGAGTTAACTTAAGCCCTACAGGTGCATCTGAAAAATTGCGCGTGTGTCTGGGACTTGAAGGATGATTAGCTGCCGTCCAAGATGCAGACCAGATAAACACACCCGCGTAACTAGACTTGAGTGGAGGAGAAATCTGTACACACAGGAATGGGTATAGGCCATCATGAGCACGAAAGTACATTTTGCTGAAATCTGATTCTAATCAGAAAAACAGCCTGAGAACACAACACCTCTTACTGCTTCTGGTGGAGTAGGCGGGAAAAACCTGGACTGGATTGAGGAGGGCCCTGGGAGGTGTTTCTTGCAGTCACAGGGCGAACGAGCTGGAGCGTGCACCTCCAGGCCTGAAAGGATTCAAGGCCTTTCCGATAAAGTAGATACTTTCAGAAACGTGATTCACGTCTAATATAATGCCCTTTTCAGATGCGGGAAAATGTTAAACCGCAAGAGATAAGTTTATGAGAGGCCTGATTTGGCCTGTTTTGTTTCAGATTTCCCACCAGTATAAAATTCCTTACAACCTATAGGATTCAGGATTCTGAAATCAAAACAGCGGTTTGTATGTTCGGTGGTGGCTGAACAAAGATGAGAGGTCGCTTTGGATTGCTGGTTGTCCAGAGTCTCTGTGGGCGTTAACGTAAACACTCTCTTAAGAAGGAAAAAAGACTATTTTTAAGCAAAATGGATAACTACAATTGGTCCATTGTGCCCAAACCACATTTTTTTTTTTTTTTGAAAGAAAGGACTACATGCTAAATGGATTTCTAGTAAACTAATTTGAGCACAGAGAACAGTAGGGTAGGGAAGACGAGCATCTCATCTTAATTAACGGGGAAACTAAATTGCATTTTGTGGAGCCAGAAAGGGACTGTAGAGAAACCCAGAATGAACATCCACTTTTACTGAACTCACGTTTACGCGTAGACATTTGTCTGTGATGCTCCTAAATAAAAAGTTCACGGGAGATAAGTGTTGTTTGAGAGCACGATTTATGGAAGGAAGACTTGCAAAGCATTTCTTTGAAGATAAAATGGAAAATGAACTTCCTGAGTCATTGGGTGTGCTGCCCTGACTCTCGGAAGTGGCCGTGTTTCCACATCCAGCTCCTTGGGTTCCGCGTGGAAAAACTTCACGAATTACACTGAAGTGGAACCATTCGGGGTCCCTTGGGGGGTAGCGTTTGGTATTTGGAGAGGTGGTGACAAAGAGGTAAGGTCCCAGCAGTGTTTGATGGTTGTTTCCAATAGAATTGGGGATGGCGGTGGGGTTTCAGTGGTGGAGCCAATTAAAAAGTTAGCACGCCTTAGATTGACACAGGTGTATGTATTTGTAGGTCCTGCAGAGCAGGTACAAATTTAACTCGAAACTATGCATCTTACTTGGGAGCAGGGAGAAGGTTACCTACCCTGTGTTTTGTGGGTGTGTATGGGAAAAAATACAACCAATCTTTAGAGTATTGTTGTTTGGGAACTGAAACTATGCTACTGGAGTCACTGTGCTTTAAAACCACTTTTTAAAATGAACTTTATATATTTGGCCGTTAAGGTTATAGATCGGTGTATACCATAAACTGTGCTATTTTGCTATTCCTCTTTAGTGGGGTTTTTGTTCTAGAATTGGTTTACGTGTAGGTACAAGGCAGATTAGATAAGAATTACCCCGAAAGCATCTGTATTTAAATTTGTTCCATAAAAGGACTGTTTATTCACCTCCCACAGTGAAAGAATCAAGGGATGAGAGAGCAACACAATTGTTTCTGAAGGGGCAACAGAGTCACAAGGCACGTTTAAAAGTATTGTCTGTTGAAGTCTTAAAGCAAGGGGCTTGAATATTTTTAGAACTCCAAGGAGATGACTTGACAAACCACACACGCTTTATTTTTCCTGTCGTGCAAGCTTTTCTGCTTTGGTTGGCTAGCTCTTGTCATAATAAGGTAATCCGTGCCCTGTTCCCACCCCGTTCCCAGGAACAGACAACTAAGGTGCTAATGAAAACACACACAGGCTTTCCTGAATGAAAGTCACATGACTTGTTCTAGTTCCTTTATTGAAAGAGAAACCTTTACCAAAATAGTACTTCGGAGCAGGAAGCAGGGTGTGTGGAACACTAGCCCAGGAATCAGGAAGCCAGGTGTCTAGTTGCTGTGCTGCGTGAGTCACGTGCGAGAGAGGAAAGCCATTTAATCCCTCTTTCTCACTTTCTCTGTCTGTAGAATGGGGTCCTTATAACCCTCTCCTCCTGTGCTCAGGGCCCCTGGGAGGCCCAGGAGGTTGTCAACATCCGGAGCGGTTCAGCTCCTCTAAAGAAACGTGTTAATAAATCCAGCGATGCTACTCATGCTTATGTACAGGAAAGACACTTTTGTAAACGGGTGTTCTTAAATTAAAAACCAGGATGCTCAAAGTTGTCTGAACGTGGAGCCGGTACCTTCCTAAGAAATTCAGGCCTTCTCTGTTTTGGTGGCTGGTTTTACTCCAGTCTCCGAGAACCATTGTTTTTTCCCCCTCTTTGTTTCACTTGAGATTTTTCTTTTCCTAGATAATTATCAATTGTCATGAAGTAGTGTTTTAAATTACAGAGTAAAATAACAATTAAGGAAAAGAGCATTCCGATCCTGAAACTACATCAGGACCGTACTTTCTGATGACCTTTTGCGACGTGGTTGTAAGAGATAGTGTCAAGATGAAAAACGTGTAACTGGAATATAGATTTTTTTAAATTGACAGTATTGCTCCTAATATGGGGCGCCTTATGAGAAGAGCAGAACCCTTAAACTGTTAGTTGCTGAATCGGCCATTGTTTGGCCTGGGGCTTCAGTCTTCAGGGTTGATTTAATGAGGGTGATCACTCCTGCCCTGTTTTGATTTGACTGGTTGTCAAACTGGGTAGGAAAACCTCCAGCGTTTCTTTTGTTCTTCCACAGGCCCACTAACCCCCAGAAGAGGAATTTTCATAGGTAATTAATGCTTTATTTTCTTTAGAACTCTTAGTATTAAAATGAATCTCTTTCTGAAAAGAACTTGCGAAAGTTTCAGGACCAGCACAGGGATAATGGGTTTTCTGTTAAAATTCCCACTAATGCGTTTTCTGTAGAAGCAGAGTCCCAAGAGCCGGTTAACTTTTGGTATCAGATTTGGCAAGTGGAGAGGGTTTTTTGTTTTGTTTTTTTGGGTAGCACAGAATCAGGTGTTCCCATTTCACCTCAGAAACTTAAGGGAAAATGTACCTTGACTCCTTTATCTGCTTTGCCAAGTACACCAAGTTGGGGAAGCTTGGAGGGAAGGGGACCAGCGTGCCCGTCCCCACAGCCCGGTCTTCACTGGGGCTCCTGTGATAGGTGAATTTTCTGCAGACTTTAT